CGGCGGTCGCCGACACCAGCCAGCCTCTGCGGCGGCCAGCCGCGGCGAGAGCGGCCCTCCTCGGGGCCTTCGGGGTCACGGAAGAGGAGCTCGCCGCCGCAGCCATGGCAGCGGTCGGGGCCCTGGAGGACCGCAGGGTACGCCGCCGCATTGCCCGCCGTGGCGCGCCGCCCGTGAGTGAGTGAGTAAGTGAAGCAGTGCATCGTTGTGGCCTGCGCATGCTGCTCCCATACGTGAGTAGGCTTCCGCCGCCCTCGGTGCCCGCCTGCGTTCTGGCCGCCACTTGCCTTTAAGGCCCCGTCTTTAACTTTAACTTTACACACAGGTGCACGGCAGAACACACATGTGCATTGCAGAATTGTCGGCAGAACACGCAGGAGCACGGCAGAACACATAGGAGCACTGCAGAACACGCAGGAACACGGGAGCGCGGCAGAACACACAGAGTGCATAGGAGCATGGCAGAACACACAGGAGTGCGGCAGATCACACAAAACACAGGAGCACGGCAGAACACGCAGCAGCACGGCAGAACACACTGGAGCACATCCGTAGCCATTTTGGCTCAAGGCCATGGAGAACCCGACGACCGCGAGTCGTTCGCGGCGCTCCGAGCGCGAGGGTCTCCGCGCTTTGGGCCAGTGCATTTCGTGTTTGTGCTCCTTGTTTTCTCGTCGCGGATGCGCAGCCCCTCGGCCAGTGCAGCGGTGGCCATGGCGCGGCCCCCGCGCGGCGGCGGCTGCGGCAGGCGCTGCGAGGCCTACTGGATGTGCAGCTGTGGCGGGTGGAACTGGGATTGGCGCACCTCGTGCCTGTGCTGCGGGCATGCGGCCCCGCCTTGGGCGATGGGGACGCTCCCAGCCAAGGCGAGGCCCAAGGCGGACAAGGACGGCTGGGTGGATCAGCCACGTGGGCGCCGTGCCCAAAGGCAGGCCCGCGGCGCGGCATCGCGGGCGGCCTCCAGACCTCGGCGTCGGCGGCGAGTGGGACGCCCAGCGGCGGAGGCGCCACGGCGATCGAGAGGCTCCAGGCGGCAGTCGAGCAGCTCGAGGCGCTGCAGGCCGAGCCCCCCGACGGAGTGGACGGCTGCTTCACCTACGCCGTGGTCAGGCAGCTGGAGGCGAAGCGGGCCGAGTTGGTCAAGGCCCAAAAAGCAGCAGCGGAGCAGAAGGCCTCTTCCCTGCCGCGGGCGACTCGGCTCCACAGGGAGGCGAACGCCATCAGCAAGGGCGAGAAGCGGCTCCGGGCAGCCCGCCAGGAGCTTGTGCAGAAGCAGGAGGCGCGCGACCTCGTCGAGGCCCAGCTCCAGAAGGCCCAGGAGGAGCTCGCTCGCGGATCTCGACGCGCAGGTGGAGGAGGCGAGACGTGCGCCCCAGGTGCTCGAGGAGGCAGCCCGCGAGGAGGCTGAGGCGCTGCGCCGCCAGCGTGCGACAGAGTGGAAAGGAGCTAGCCAGGTGCCAGGGCTCCTCATGCAGCTGGAGAAGTTGCCAGAGGCGTGGAGCTCCAGCAACTTCGAGGTGGCATGGGCAGCCATTCGCGCACAGATGGAGGCAGTGCGGGCGCAGCTCGAGGGAGCCCCAGCGGCCCCCAAGCGTGCGCCGTGGGCCGGGTCCTGCCCCATGGAGGAGATCAGCAGCGACGATGGCGAACTCGCGGACGGCGGCGACCCCTGGCAGCCCCAGCCAGCCGCCGAGCGAGGCCAAGCCGAGCGGCACGGCGAGGCGCTGGGCGAGTGGCCGACGGTGGCCCAGGCATGCAAGCGGGGGCTGGCGGCTGAAGCAGCGGACTTGGCTCCTCTGGCTTCTCTCCCTTCTGGCAGTGTCGCCAGGAGCCGAGCCGGAGAGGTGCAAGCAGGGCCAGAGAGTGCCTAGCAAGGCCAGTGCGGCGGGCCTGCGCCTGCACGAGAGCGGCGCCGAGGGCGTCGGGAACAACCTGGTAGGCCGCCGCTGCATGGGCACCCTCGGCAAGCCCAGGGGCCAGGAGAGCGCTGCAAGGCCCAACTGGGACCTCATCCTCATGGGCGCCGAGGAGAACGTAGTCGGGGCCATCGAGTTCGGCACTAGCGAGCGGGGCGACCGCAGTGACCAAGCTGGCGTACATGGTGACCCCGAGGCTACTGCAGTGGTGTCTCGCGAGCTCCCTGAAGCGAGATGGCGGCAAGAGCTCGGCCTCCTGCAGGATATGGGCCAAGCAGGCCGTGCAGAAGGGCGACAAACTCGCCCACAGGTTTGCCAAGGCTGTGCCGCCCCTGCCAGTGGTGGATCCAGAGGCTAGCAGGCCCTTGGCAGGCGCGATGGCATTTGAGCAGCTGGAGGCCAACTGGCAGGCCATGTGGCAGCAGGAGGGCTTCAAGGCTGGAGCTGGAGTCGGCAGCTGGGACGTCCGAGGCTCAACGCTGCCGCCCCTCAACCTGGAGATGCTGCAGGCGGTTCGCAAGCGTCACTCGCTGGCGGCGAGCCTGGACGCTGACCAGCTCCACCCACGGCAGCTGCTGCCGCCCCCCTCGGTCCTGCGCTTGCGCGGCCTGGCCCTCTCGGAGGCCCACGAGGAGCAGCCCATGGCCCTCGAGGCCGCAGCAGGCCTGCCCCGCGCCTCGCCCGTTTACGATGGGGAGCGGACCCAGTGGTGCGGCGACTGGCGCCTTGTGCCAGAGCGGTGCATGGCCATGGACCGCAGTGACGCGCTCGGGCCCATGTTCCTCGAGCCGCAGATGCATTCCGCGGCTGCATCGGAGGCCCAGCAGGCTGGGGAAGCCCTCGGCGGCGGAGCTCCAGCCGCGCGGCCCCACCTGGAGGACAGCCGCTCGACGGGGGGCAGCGCGGCCGCCCTCTCGGCCACCGCTGTCGCTTTCAGCGTCCTGGGGCACGTGCTCAGCTATGCCTGCGCAGACGTAGGCGAGGACACCCATGAGATCGCGGCGTGCACCAAGCGTGGCGCCTACAAGGTGCTGGGCGGCCGCGCGGGAGGCAAGTCTCGCCTCAAGGTGCAGTGCCCAGGGCCCAGCTACCTGACCAACAAGTCAGGCAGGAACCAGCGCAGCCTGCGGGAGCGAGGGCTACACCCTGGTGGCAGACCGCGCGCAGACCAGCGGAAAGTGAGAGCAGAGGGCACCCCCGCCTTGCGCTCCCAAGGGCCAGTACCAGGACATGCCCAGGAGCGCTACCTGGAGTGGATTGGCACCGAGGCGGAGCCCACGGGCGAGGCCTCAGCCGCAGCCAGCAGTTCGGGCGGCGGCCCAGCGGCCGCGGCAGCGAAGGAGGTGCAGGCGGCGGCGGCCAGCCTGCCCCAGCAGCAGCCAGGGCCGAGTGCGGACGCCCCCAGAGCAGGCGTGGCAGCCGAGGAGGAGCTCGCGGCAGCGGGAGCCCCACCCATCGGCGGCTTGGTGAGCCGCAGGGTCCGCCGCCGCCTGGCGCGCCGCGGCTCGGAGCACCTGGAGTTCTACCTGGAGGAGTTCGGCACCGAGGCGGAGCCTACAGGCGGAGCCTCAGCCGCGGCCAGCAGCTCGGGCGACAGCCCAGCGGCCCCCGCGGCAGTGCTGGCAGCGGAGGCGCGGCGGGCGGAAGGCAGGTGAGTCGCAGGATCAGCCGCCTGCCAGCGCACCGCGGTTCGTCATCCGTGAGTGAGTGAGTGAGTGAGGAGAAACATCGTTCTCGTGTGTTGCCCCTGGTGTGAGTAGGCACGCGAGGCGCGCTGCGGTGAGGGGGCTCCGTGCCGTCGCAGTCGAGTTCCCTTTGGGCGGTGGCCCAAGGCGGCCCCGCTGGTTTGCCGAGAGGCGGCCCAAGGTGGCCCCTCTTGGGCGGGCGGCCCCGCTGGGCCCCCGCGGGTGTCTGGCCTTTTGGCCCACCACGTTGCCTTGAAGGCCCCGTCTCTAACTCTAACGCTAGCTCTAACACACAGGAGCACGGCAGAACACACAGGAGCACGGCAGAACACAGGAGCACGGCAGAGCAGGACGATGGCAGAATACACAGGAGCATGGCAGAGCACGCAGGAGCACGGCAGAACACGCGGGAGCACGGCAGAACACACAGAACATCCATGCACCCAGCCACACCCACAGGCACATGCACACGAACACATGCACACGCACACGCACACGCACACACAGACACATACACACGCACACACACACACACACAGGCAACATACGTTCACTCAGACCGCAGGAGCACGGCAGAGCAGCACGGCATAACACAGCAGTGCCGCAGACCAGCATGCACGGACACACATGCACATTTTCCACGCACGCACGCGCACGCGCAAACGCACGCACGCCACGTCATATCTGACAAAAGAGCACACTTCGCATACCTAGTGGACAAAAGCGGCACTTCCCGTTCTTGTCCGGTCAGATCTCCCCAGCATTGTTGACACGGTACGGACCCCACAGAGCTCGTCTAATGGGGGCCTCCGTGATCGACATCCCCCCTTGGCCCTTGCAGGAAGCGTCATGCGGTGAGCACGTCCCGCCCCTTGTGGGGAAGCCGCCAGGGCCTGCGTCGACGGCCGCCGCATTGACTCTTCCATGTTGCGGCTGTGTTCTGCTGGGCAGATCCCCCACATCCAAAGGAGCCACGAAACGAGACTCCCTTGCTTCAACCGCTCCCGTCAGAAAGCCGCGGGTGGGTGCAGCGAGAGGGTACAGCGGTTTCAGCCACAGCAGTGGCTTTTATTTCTGCTACCCGAGTGCGCGTCACACGAATAAATCCAAATACGCGCCAGTTGCACAGACCTCATGAGCAACGCGAGTTCCACCGAGGCCACGGACGAGGGCTATCGTACACGGCGATCCTTCAGCGACGGCAACTAGTGCTACCAGTGGTGGCGACGGTGATCACAAGATACAGGCGCCGATGGCGATGACGATGACGATGGCTGCGATTGTGATGATGATGATAATCGTGGCGATGGTGATGATACTTGTGATGGAAAACGAGATGGCACAATTGCCCATCGCATAACTGCATCAGTCGCCAGTCATTTTGATGTGCCTTCTGAAGGACGAAGACCGCCGGTCGTTTGCAGCGTACCAGCCGTGCCCATTCACAGAGGAGCAATGCAAAGAACGCTTCGGCACCATAGAAAAAGGTACCGACTGGAAGCAACCTGAGGCGCCAAATGGAGAGTTGATCCCTCGAAAGACTGCGTGGATGGTCAGCAGAGGGTGCCAGTGCACCTACCGGTACGGACGTATAGAGGTGGAGCCACAAGAATTTCCGCCATGGATGTTGTCGATCCTCCGCGAAGTCATGCCGCTTTGTGGCATCACGGACGAGAATGAGTGGCCCAATTCTTGCAATATGAACCTCTACGAGGATGGCGGCATGTCGGTCGGGTGGCACGCCGACGACGAGGCCCTCTTCCAGGGCAAGTTTAACGATATCAAGATCATCTCTCTCTCCCTGGGAGTCCGCCGGAAATTCCAGCTCCGCGCGAATTGGCCCAATGAGAACGAGAGGGTCATGAGGCATATCATGTTGGGAGACGGCGACCTTATGACGATGGAGGGCATGACCCAGAAGCACTTCCAGCACCGTGTCCCGAAGGAGACCAATGGAAGGAGGAACGGAGTTAAGGGTAGCGAGGGGAAGGTGAATAACATCTGGGGGGTCGTGGGAAGACGGAGCGGAGTGCGCGGGAGAAGAGAGGCAGGGAAGCGGAAGGGAATCATTTGCAACACCGCGTCCCAAAGGAGGACAACGTCGAGGGGAGGAGGATCAACCTCACTTGGAGATGGACCGTGAAGCACAGCCCCAAGTGTTCGGCCGCGAGAAAGCGCCGATGAAGGCTCTCGCCTTAGTCCTCCGCCCCGCAACTCCCGTTCTCCTAACCCTCTATCCCCCCTTCCTCCTGATCGTTCTTCCCGCCTGATCGTGCTCGGGCATCTGCCCCAGGCCAGGACAAGCAGGAGGAGGAGGAAGTCTCCAGAGGTCCCTCGGGAGGGGGGGGAAACAACGATAACAGAAATCATGCTAAGACTGTTCGCTCTTCGCTGCCCGCGTGAATCCGCGTGGCATTCAACATGTAGGCCGCAAACCTTAGATACCCGCCTGATTCATCTTCGATCCTATTCCCTTTGTGGGTATGTGGTCCTTGCCCTCCACGCGTGGTTGGCGTGGCCCCTGAAATACGATGAGGAGGAGGAGGAGGGAGAAAGGGAGAGAGAGCGAGGAGAGGTTGCGGAAACTGAAGGGAGGAGGGCAAGAGAAAAGGAGGATGATTGAAGGCGAAAAAGATGTAGCAGGCAAGCGGATCTGGTCCCTGACAGGCAGACCTTCCCCAGCGGGCGGGTCGGACGGCCGGACCCTAGCGGGCGGGTAGGGCGAGCGGGGCACTGAAGCGGGCGGGCGGGTTCCAGGCACGCGAGCAAGCGGATATCGACAGGCCAGTCGGTCGGGCGGACCCTGGCGGGGCGGGTCGGGCGGGATATTGAAGCCAGCGGGCGGGTTCCCAAGGAGGCGAAAGCTCGGATCTAAACAGGCGGGTCGGGCGGGCGGACCCTGGCGGGCGGGTCGGGCGGGCGGGCCCCACCGGGCGGGTCGGTCGAGTGCGGCATCAAGCTAAGTTCGTAAATTCCGAAGACGCCTCAGGCGAGAGCACAAGTCCTGAGTAATGTGTGAGGGAATCTCATACGAGAACGCGACTACTGGACATCGAGAGCGCAGTGCCTTCGTAAATTGCGAGGAATTCCCGGGCGAGTGGGCGATTCTTGAGTAACTTGCGATGAAGTCTCTAGTGAGTGCGCAATTCGATTTGTTTGTGAGGAAGTATTGGGCGGGAGCCGTTGTTGTTATTGCAGTCCGGCTGTTATTGCAGTCCGGAAGTCATGGGCGCAGTTTGAATACCAAGGCTCCCCTTGACAGAACAACGTGGTGCGAGCCCTTGGGGGCGATATTTCAATTGAAGAGCGCCATGGACACAGGGCATGGGGGATTAATTGCAATTTCTCCTCAGAAGTACGAGTTCGATTATAATACAATACGGGCGAGACACCCCAATCTGAATCTTTTCAGGGCTATAAGGCTATGGGACGATAGGGCTATACGGCCATAGGGCTATAGGTCTGTAAGGCTATAGGGCTAGAAGGCTATAGGGTCATAGGGCTACAGGGCTGTAGAGCTATAGGACTATGGGGCTATAGGTCTATGGGGCTATAGGGCTATAGGGTCATAGGGCTCTAGGTCTATAGGTCTAGAGGGCTATGGAGCTATTGGGGCTATATGGCTACAGGACCAAAGGGCTTTTGGGTTATAGGTATATAGGGCTATAGGGCTATAGGCATATAGGGCTATTGGGCTACAGGGCTACAGAGCTATAACGCTATAGGGCTGTAGGGTTGTAGGGCTTTGGACCGATAAGGCTATAAGGCTATAGGGCTACAGAGCTATAGGGCTGCTGGGGCATGGGGCCATAGGGCTATGAGGCCATAGGGCTATAAGGCACCCGTGCACCTGGGCACCCGGGCAACCGGGCGGGCCGCGGAAATCGGTGACACACCTCACCGAACCATACAAATCCGCTGGGACCCCTACAGAGGCAAGCTCTGATTGGGGAATGTATGGATTCTTTTGTTCTCATACGTATATGTACGTATCCACATGAATACAATTTTGATTCAACTCAGGCGTTCCAGGAATGGCCTGGCCTTCGAGGGACGATGGAGCTGTCAGCTCTTATTCGGCAGAAGGCGGCGGAAGCGCGACGAAAACCCGCGGAAGAAAACCGAGAGCGGCGCAGCCGGCCGAAGGTAAGGAAGCAGGTGGAAGTAAAATTCTGCCTCCCGATAAATGCCAAGCTGTTTTGGCCCAGGGTTTCGGAACCCACCACATGTAGATATGCGTGTTTGCCAGCGTGGACCCCAAACAGTGTGTTTCTACCATGATGTGTTGTGCAATGTGTTGTCTGCGATCTATGTGGAGCAATATGTGTTGCGCAGGTTGTGCAGTTTGTATTGTGTAACACATGTTATATCACGCACGCTGTGCCATCATTGGTATACATGATATTTCGTGTGATCTATAGTGTGCTACATGTGTTGTGCAATATCTGTGTTGCCATCTGTGTTGTGCACTTTAGGCGGCGCAGTATATGTGTAGCATTTGTAGCGCGATCTATGTGGCGCAATTGAGTTTAACAAACGAGTTGACCGATCCCACGCTCTTGCAAACATCCCACCCACCCACCCGTAACTTGGCTTGCAAAACCCATGTGGTGACGATTGCAATGAGTGTTTGGAGTTAGCTGGCCCATCTCTGCGGCCGCGCCAACCCAAGCGCGCGCGCGCAGCGGCCAGCTAGTTTGGCGCGACCGACGCGGCCGCGGCGGCGCTGACTGCTGGGCACATCCCAGCTGGGCGACGACACCGACGACGTCTCCAACGACTTCGACGCCGACAGCGACGACGACGACGACGACACCGACGACGACGACGACGCCGACGACGACGACGACGATGACAACGACGACGACGATGACGACGCCGACGACGACGACGACATCGACGACACCGACGACGACGACAACGACGACGTCAACGACGCCGACGGCGACGACGACGACGACGCCGACGACGACGACGACGGTGGCGACGTCGACGACGACGACGACGACGACGACGACGGCGGCGACGACGACGACGCCGCGCCGACAACGGCGACGAAGACGACGACGACGTCGCCAACGAAGACGACGACGAGGGAGGGGGGAGGACGACGACGGCGACAATGACGACAACGACGACAACGACGAGGGGGGAGGGAGGACGGCGACGACGCGAACGACGAAGCGACGCCGACGACGACAACGACGAGGGAGGAGGGAAGACGACGACGACGACGACAAAGACGACGACGACGACGACGGCGACGAAATTGGAGGGACGAAGACGAGACGCCGACGACGGACGACGACGACGACGAGGGAGGAGGAGTAAGGACGACCACGGCGACAACGACGACGGAAACGACCACGACACCAAAGAGGACGACGACGACAAACACGAGGAAAGACAGAGGACGACGTAGGCGACGACGACGACGACGACGCGGGAGGAGGGAGGACGGCGACGACGACGACGACGACGCAAAAGCGCGCGCGCGCACGCTTTCGTTGAAAATCCGTGTTGCGAAACCTTGTGTTTTTGTTAGTTATTTGGACACGATTTTGAAGTCCTTCCGAAACCGATGGGTGTTGAGGGATTCCGGCATACGCGCGCGACGACGCGCGCGTCTGTTGCAGAGGGTTCTTGCGACGGCACACGCGCAAGGGCGTTCGACAGATTTCGACATGCCCGCTCTCGAAGCCCGTTTAGTAGCACTGTGTGAAAATATTGAAAGACTCATTGTTTACTTAAGATTTCGCAAGAGCTCGCGCGTAAGCATGTCTTTTGGGAACTCGATTGCGAAATCCTTCCGGCACCGACGGTTTTCGAAGGATTTCGGCACGCGCGCGCTACAACGCGCGCGTGCTCACTTCGTCCCGTTTTTGGCAAGGGATTCGCGACAAAGTCTTGTGTTAGCAGAAAAGATGTCCCCGCGTATCGTTTCGTTTTTTTACAAGGGAACCTCAGGGGGACCGATACCGGTTCCCCGGGGATAATGTAAATTCAGATTTAGGATGGACATGTGGTCAGAATCATATTTGATTTACATACCCGAAAGGGTGGCGGCGAACGCGGGGGTGGGGGGGTAGAGCCTATTCTGTTTTCAGAAAGGAGGGTTGATTTTTACCCATGATGTGACACATCTCGTGCTCTTGCCAACGTCCCACCCACCCACCCGCAACTTGGTTTGCTAAACCTCTTAAGACCGTGACGGTAGGTTCCAAATGGTACTTGGCAACGACACCGGCGCCGACGATGACGACGACAACGCCGACGACGACTACGACGACACCGACGACGTCTCCGACGATTTCGACGACGACGACGACGACAACGACGACGACGACGACACCGACGACGACGACGACGCCGACGCCGACGACGACGACAACGACGACGACGACGATGACGACGCCGACGACGACGACGCCAACGACGACGTCGACGACGCCGACGACGGTAACGTCGACGACGACGACGACGACGGCGACGACGACGACGCCGACGTCGACGACGACGACGACGCCGACGCCGATGCCGACGACGACGACGACGTCGCCAACGAAGACGACGACGACGACGAGCGAGGAGGGAGCACGACGACGGCGACAACGACGACAACGACGAGGGAGGAGGGAGGACGGCGACGACGCGAACGACGAAAAAGGAGGGAGTTCGGCAATGCCGACGACGACAACGACGCGGGAGGAGGGAAGACGACGACGACGACGACGACGGCGACGAAATAGGAGGGACGAAGACGAGACGCCGACGACGGACGACGACGACGACGAGGGAGGAGGAGTAAGGACGACCACGGCGACAACGACGACGGAAACGACCACGACGCCAAAGAGGACGACGACGACGAACACGAGGAAAGACAGAGGACGACGTAGGCGACGACGACGACGACGCGGGAGGGGGGGGACGGCGACGACGACGACGACGACGACGCAAGAGCGCGCGCGCACGCTTTTGTAGAAAATCAGTGTTGCGAAACCTTTGTTTTTGTGAGTGATTTGGGCACACGATTTTGAAGTCCTTCCGAAACCGATCGGTTTTGAAGGATTCCGACATACGCGCGCGACGACGCGCGCGTCTGCACTTCGTCAAATTGTTTGCGCAGGATTCTTGCGACGGCACACGCGCAAAGGCGTTCGACAGATTTCGACATGCGCGCGCG